CGGGGCGTCCGGGCGAGGGCCGGTGGTGGGCCAGCCGAGCGGGGGGGTTTCCCGGGCTGTCCGCGGGTCGCCTGGAGAGGCGGCCTGGATGTAGCAGCGTAGCCTGAGGGAGAGCAGCGGTCCTGTGGTGCGGGTGCCCGAGGGCAGCCCCGGGCATGCACGGCTTCCTGGTACGCTGGGGGACCGTGCGGGTCCTGCTCCACAGGGTCGGGGGACTTATTCAGGGCTATTAAACTGTGCGATTGCATGGGCTTAGTCTGGGGCTCTGAGGCCTTACGGAGTCGCTCCTGTTAGGTTTTGCTTGGGATGCTGAGCAGGTTATGCTAATGCAGTTTAGGACAAGCTCTCTTAAAGACAGCTTTGCTTTTAAGGTAAATGCATGCATAATGAACTAGGAATTCTTCAGCGAGAAATTAGATTTATTACTGTAATGCTTTAAGGATTTGCTTCTGATCACTACTGCTTGTGTTTTTCAGATGTTGGTGGTGCAGCAGATAAGATTAGCTTAATACCTCAAGACTTTTTTGCAGAACTGGTAAGTAGGGTGATAAATGGGATGTGGAAGGGCTTCTGGCACTCTGATTCAAGGAAACCTTTTTGTTTAAGCTGTTTCGGGTTTTGTATGTTGCAAAGGGACTCTTATGTATGTGGTAGTTTAGATTTACATGACTCAAAAAATGGACCAGCCCTGCTAAGAGTAATGGGATTCCTTTAAACGTATGTTTTTATCACAGAAGATTTTTAAGAAATGTATTTTTGCCTTTCACCTAAATGAGGTGTCAAGCTAGCTTGTCTAGAAAACATTCAGCTTGTTTACTATAGTGTGCACTTGAACAGGGTGACTGTTCAGTTAGTATGGAAATGGTATGTTAAATAGGAATAGCTAGTGAGGTAGCAACTAGAAGTCTTGACTGAGTTTATTCACTCTTCTTGGATTTGATGTAATTTTTAAAATCGGTCATTTCAATTACTTTCTTCTTCACTCTGCGTTTAAAGCATCCTCCTGTTGTCCACTCTTGCATTAACCAGTTTTTTTGTTTTGTAATCTCAAAAACTAGCTTTGTCTTGTATATTAAAGTATGCATTAAGAATGTTTTCAAACTTGCTTTCTTTACAGTGTGAGCAAATAATTCAACATCTGAACCATAAGATCCCAGGTGTAAATACAGCTGAACTGTGTCAGGTAAGTTTGGATACTTCTACTTATTAGCAAGTATAGTAACTGTATATGCGATAAAGGATAGATTTCCCCAAGCCATTTTTTTTATGTGTGTATGTATACACAAAGAGGTTTTTATTAATACATAGTTTATTATTTGTAATTGTTTGAACATTCTGTTTCTAGAGAATTCAAACATCCGGGACTGAGATTAATGTTGGTGACCTGGCAAAAATAGCCAATGTTGTTTCCTTTCTATTTAGGTAAGCTCAAAATAATCTATATCTTCTTTCCTTCCACCCCAACTTACTAGTGGTATTAAAAATTGACATCAAACGTGGGTATAAAATGAACTGATTTGGGAAAAGGGCAAAAGTTTGTAACTCTCAGTACACAAAAAAGAATTTCTGGATTTAGTTTATGTTCTTAAAAAAAAAGTGCAGTTACTGAATTGTAAAGGAGACTGTATATTAAAAAAAACTGAAGAGAGGAAATTGTTCTAAGATCCTGTCTGTAAGCTTCGGAACTACTGACAAAATAGAAGAGGAAGTTAAGCTCAGTTCTAAAGCTAAGTCAGCTAGGCCTTTGCCTGGAAGTAAAAACTTCTTGTTTCTTAGAGATTAGAAAGCAGTATTTGTGCCTGTTTGAAGGGCACACAGTTTTATAATGTTGAACTCATCCGTGATAAAGGTAGAGTTTTTAGGTAGCATTTTCAGCTGTTGTTTTGCTGTAAGTTTTTCTGTTTTCAGAAAGATAACACTTTCAAGATCTTGCTTCTTCTAGTATCTAAACATTTTATGTAACATTAATAGGACTGAAGAAAATACACCAGTAGAAATAAAAGCCTTAAATTATATTAGACTGTGCTGCTTGGAGCACCAACTTGTTTTCTCTTTTATTGTCTCTTAAAGAGGAGTGGATGTGCATGAGCAAACCTAGAGTGGGATTTTTTTTACCTGTTTCTGTGTAGAGGAAACCAAGCGGCAATTTTCTTCTAGACTTGCTGCCTTTTCAGCTGAGGGTTTATTGCATCATTTGACTCCTGTTAGTACCAATTATACCATTACCTAGAGGTCCTTACTTGCCTTTTGGTGAGACTTAAATTACCTCTCCTAAATGTTTAATTAAACTGCCTTGTTTCTAAAGTAATAATATTGTTTAACTGCTCTATGCACACATCTTTCACTGAATTAGCCTTTTTTCAGTTGCAACAGCACTTGGAGGCTATGATTGCTTTTGTTTTAATTTTGTGTGTTGTGCAAGCCCAGTAAAACTTGGTCTCTGCATATTAAGACACATTAAAAGTCAATTCATGTTTTTTTGCATGTGGATACAAAAGGCTAGTGGAACATTCTGAAAAAAAATCACAGGCTGCCTAATTATTGTAAAGTACACAGACACGTAAAGCAGAAATAAAAAATTGGGTGAAGTGAGAAATTTTGTTAAACTCATGGAGAATGAAATTGATGCGATGTTCTTTGGATATATCTATAGCACAGCAGCCAGGAACAATCTCTCTACAGAAGAACTTGTCACCACCTTGAGCAATGCAGTCACCACGCTGCCAAAACATGCAGTTCAAGTTATTCGTCATGTATGGAATGAGCAGGGCAAATCCATCACTGTGTCAGAAGATGCAAGAAGTATGGCCACAGTGGGGCAGGTAACTAAATGACAAAGTTCAGTCACGCTAACTATTAACTGTGCAGAAATGTCAGTGCTTCATTGTGCGTGTTGTATTGTCAAGCACGTGGTGGCATCTTGACTGCTGAAAGCTTTCCTCTATATATATGTTGTCAGATGTCTTCCCAGATAAAGAAGCACGTACAATAAAGATTGTCTAAATGCTGAACGCTTTTCTAATAATATTGTTTGGATGATAAAGTCACATTTCATACCTTTTTAAAAGTTAGTGCTTCATAGTACTATCAGGGAAGGTGAGTGGCAGTCAGTGTGGCAGATGATTGTATTAGTTGCTTATATAAACCTGTTTTAAAAGTAATTCAGATTGCTTTTTAGAGTTGATAACACCAGCACTTGATTGTTTTATTCTTTGTCTCCCTTAAGTTTAAATTTTTTTAAATATACTTTCTATCAATTTCCAGCATTCCTTTTTTCTATTTTGAAAAAATAGCACAGTGTATTTGCAGTTAAGATCTTTTTCTACTATAGAAGAGTACAGAATTGGGGGGTGAGGGGGGATGTGTGGAAATCTTTGAGGTTTGATAGTAAGCTTCTGAAGGCTCTCTTCACTTTTTTTTTTTTATTCAACAGTTCTGCCTATCATAAAAGTCTAAAACCAATAACTTACATCATAAATACGTTCTGGACAGGTACTTTGATTTATCTAAAATGCAGTTGTGAAATACCTTAGTTTTTTTTCATTATTGCTATTATAAAATTTTTGTGCACTGTCTGAGTTTTTTCTCATGTTTCCACTTGATTTAGAAACTTCTAAAAAAACCATGACAAAAGCACAAATTATATACAAGCCAGGTGGCTCAGTCTCCTCTTACTAGAAATTTAAATAGCCTGTACTTGACAGTACTTGTATAAGGAAAACCAATTAAGTAAACTGCTTTTTTTTTTTCTCCACTATTAAAAGGAGGGGTAGGTGACTTTGTATCCACAATCATATCTGAATGTCTATGAGCTCTAGGTGTCCTACGCTGCCTGTAAAACATCCATCCAACAGAATAGCAATGGTAGGCTAGGTCTCTTTCTTTAATGCTGTTTCCAATGACTTTCTTCTTTGTAGTTTCTAGATATTAAATGGAAACTGGGAGTTGCAATGAGCTCTGACACCTGCAGGTCTCTGAAGTATCCTTATGTTACAGTGACACTAAAAGTGGCTGACCCTTCAGGACAAATAACGGACAAAACTTTTGAAATGACGATCCCACAGTTCAAGGTCTGTACTCAGTGTTACTTGATTCACTCTTGTAAAACCAACAGTGATGTTGGTGTGAAGGAGCAGCTGTATACCTTGATGCATATGCTTGTGTTGCTAGTTTACTAATGCAGTCGTTCAAAGGTGAAGCCTTGAATAATTATTTAAAACACTGAAGCTGAATACTTATTCCGTAGCATTTAGTTCTCCATCACTTATCTGAAAACATTCGTTTAGTAGTAATTAATCTGTTCTCTTACAAATAAGCTAACAACTGAAGATGTAAAGACTTTTGCATCTTTCTTGTCAGCTGTCATTCTGCCTTATTAAAAACAGATGGAATATTCTAAATCTATGGAACTGTTCCCCTGCCTCAAAATCTAAAACTTGGTTAAGCCTAACATTTGCTAATGACTAGGAATGGAGATCAGTTTGCTTTGTCACCACTGGCTCTTACTTGCTCTGCCTTCATCTATAAAGTTCTGTAACTTTAATTTTGTGTAAATGTGGCACTTTTGTTGTCATTCCTGTTTAAAGGGCAAGTACCTCACTTGATGATAATATATAAGCTTACAAATAAATAAATCCTTGGAGTTGGACTGTCAGGAATTTGAGAAGGATATTCTGAATCCTTAGGTGTTGTGAAATGTTGTATTAATTCTGGTTGAAACCCATTTAATAATTTCCTGTCCAGCTACTGTAAGACATGGATGCTGTACTTGAGAAGCCTGGGTTATTTCAGCTGGGAATAGAAACATCTGTGTGAAGGTTTTTTGGTGGGTTGAGTTGGTTTTGGTTTGGTTTTTTTTTTTGTTGTGGTGAGAGAGCTACTTTGTATTTTTCTTTCATAGCATCTTCTCCTATTTATAGGCAAACCCATGCAAATAAGGCATCACCTGTGTAGATTTAATAGCACCCAAATAGTTGCCCAAATGCCAACCAGCCCACAAAAAGAAAAGTAGAAACTTTCAGTTCAGGCTGCATATTGTAACTGGAGGAAGGAGGGAATGTGAGAAACATGGATTGTGATTTTTTGTCTAACATGCTAGTTTGAACTACAGTTTGAGCTTTTTTTCAAGCAATTGAAATTTCTCTTACCTCTTGCTTTTTAGAACTTCTTCAGACAGTTCAAGGAAATGGCGGCTGTTCTTGAAACAGTTTGAAGAGAACTCTTATTTACACTGAAATTTCAGACAGACTTAGATCAAGTAAACTTCTTTCCATTCTGCACGGGGAATAAAGTGCCATTGCTCAGCAAGGTATGTATCCTTGTCTTTTTGACAGGTATTTGACAGCATCATCCTTGCATTGCTGTGAAGACTTCTTTTGCTTTTGAATACTTGAAGCCAACTGCAGTGTTTGTGAAAATGTGTTCAGCGTTGTTCATAGATAGACAAAAGATCAGGATGTATATGGAGAAGCATCACTGTAGACTTTCTAATATCCAGGAGTGAGAAACAACATGCAAGAAATTACACATTTAACTCTGAAGTGTGGAAAGACACCTGAAAATGTTTACTGGGAAGATACTGAAAGAAGTGTAGATGCCCTGTTAATGCTTTTGTCTGTAAAATTGAGATGCTCTTGGATTCAACAATAATATTAAGGAGTATATAAAGTTATATGTAAGAAGCATATACAGTTATTCTTGAAGAATAGCAATGTCAAGTAGTTAGTTGCAGGTATTTGCAGACCTGGCTTCCAGTCTTCTTTTAATAACTGGAGAATGTACTTGTTCTAACAGCTTGTTTATTTCAAATACTTCTTTCCCACTATGTTAGGCTTATAAAAACTGAGTTAATGCATTAAGCTTTTCTCGACACCCAAAATTTATTCTCTGAAATGAAGCCCAGAGGCTAATTTTAAATAAAAGTAGAAAGGTGAATTTAATTCAAAAGCATTTTAATATATTTTTTTCCTTTGCATTTAATCCAACTGTAATCTGTGGCAGTCTGCTTGACGTTTGATCAGCAGTCTGCTTTCGAAGTAAATTACAGCATTGATGTAGTCACCTCACTCCAAGCTCTGAACTAGAAAAGTCAAGAGGAAGCTTGAAAATTCAGGCTGGAGTGTTAGCCAAGCACACGAGAGAAAGAACCACGTTAAAAGTGTGTGGCAAGATTTCTTTGCTTGTTGTGTTGCGTGGCAGGAGGCCACTGGACTGTGGTGGCGTGCGCTCACTGTCAGAGAATGTCCTAACAAGCAAACTTTTGACTTTGATTCTGAAGAATGGGCCACTTCCAAAGGGGGGGTGATAAATCCAGTGTGCTGGCATGCTCTCTTTTTTTTTTTGTTTGTTTGTGTTTTCCATAAACAAAACACAAACTGCAAATATAGTGGGATGGAGTAAAACCAATACTGTTGCATTTCAGGATGTGCTGGTAGTGTAATAGAGCAAGTAAATCTGAAAAGACAATTCATACTGATAAGCAGACTGAAGTTCATGCTGCAACTTCAGAATGGGAGAGACTGAGAAGCAGTTTTGCTGGCACAGATCCTCAAGTGATTTCAAGCCCCCTTAAGTGGGAACAGATACCTTTCTAACCCACTTTTTTTTTTTTCTTAACTTGTTTAGAAGCTGGCTGAAAGCCTGATACAGGTTATGCCTGCCTCTTTGCGTCATGAAAATAAACTGCAGCATATTGTCCGTGCTGCATACTGCAATCCTTTCAATAGAGAGAGATACACTCCCACTATTTGGGCATTATGCATGGTGCATAAAAACAGTACTTGGAGTTGCTTAGAAGCCCGAATAAGTAAAACAGTGTTGGCTTTCACAAAAGGTAGTAAAAGTTTTGGGCTGTGGCCATTGATCTGGATGATGCTCCTTTGTGCTGCTGAAATCCGAGGTGTTTGCTTTGTGGCTGGGGAGAGCAGATTGCCCTTTTCTGGGACCCTCTCAATGGAGTCACAAAATGGTCTCAGGAACAGACTTCCCGTTTGCCTTTTCCCTTGTCTGCCTGCAAGGGCTCAGGGCTGAACATAGTGCAAAAAATCTTCTCTGTGTGTGGAGAAGTGGTGTGAGCAGCTGATTTCTTTTTTTTTTTTTTTTAATTTGCAGAAGTGGAGTATAAAGCTGCTATAACTGGAAAACATTTTCATACTTTGGCCTAGTGAATTAGCTGGTTTACATCATTGCAAGAGTTGTAAAAAAGAATTATAAAAAGAATACAGTTGGGTTTTTTTTTTTTTAGTAAAGCTGGAGCCTTACAAATACTTCCCATTTTGTTCTAATGCACTTAAGTTCTTCATACAGCTGGAAAATTTGTGCCTTCATTGGAACTGGATGGAAAAGAAGATTTAATTAATCATGTCTTAACTTCTAGAAACAACAATTTAGTAGACACTGGAAGGTAATGAGGAAACTTTCAGTTACAGCTTTTGCTTTGTTGTCCATCACCAAGAAGAGAAAGTTGGCAGCCTTTGAAAAGTCTAACTTAAATTTTGTCAAGTCAAATATTCTAGAAATATTAAAGAATATTTTTTAAATGTCCCTGAACTCCAGGATGTTGTAACTCTGGCTGGAAGATGCCTGGACATGTGTGCTATACCAGTTTACTGTCTGAGAATTTTCAGAGGTGTTTATGGACATCTAGGAGATGTGATTAAAAGTTGGCAATGTACTCAAACTTCTGAGATCTGTCCTGATCACTATCAGTAGGAATTCTTGTACTGAGTAATGGAAGAACTAAGTACTTTATTTAAAAAAAAAAAATTTAAAAACCTAACAGTTTGCAGGATAGCAATATTAACATGTTAAAACAAACTGTTGAATTGTTTGTATGTGCAGAAACCAGATCTTTTCAAAGAGAATCAGGAGTCCTTGCGTGTTCCTAATTCTACTTGTCGATTGATATGAAATTGTATAATATGAATATTTTTGTAAGTCCATAAACAGTCATTAAACATACAGGTAACAAAGATAAAGATGGTCTGTGTTTTGTTTTAAGCCTACTGCATGAAAGTCTGTATCATAAATACTGTCATGGGTAAAGTTTCAGGACTAGACTGTGACTAAACTTTCCTTATTAAATTAGGATGAAGTTTAGACATATGTAGCCTTTCTCTGTGATAGGGCATCAAGTAGCTGAGGGGTAACTGCAGGCTGCAAGGAATATTTGTATCAATTACTTAGCTAGGCAGAATGTTGTATTGACCCAGGAAAAGACAGAGGACATAGGAGTTTAATGAAATTTTGCAGGAAATTGCATTTAAGTGGTTTTCTCTCCTTAACACTTGTTAGGAGACAAGGAAACAATTTTTCTTTTCAACATTTGCCTGGAACGGAGCAAGAGGAAGGAAGGGGGAAGGGTCTAGCACAGTAAACAAACCCAAGGGAGGGAATAATGAAGGAATCTCCTGGTAATGACTGACTGTTGTCTTCATCACATGACTTGTTTGGTTTTTTTTTTTGCATTGGTTTCAAACACACCAGCCTGCTTACAGAAAGCTGTTTTGTGGAAAAACAGAGAAAGGCTCACAGAAAGAATGCACAAATAGCTGTAGTCATGTCTGTGCACTAGTGTTTCATATATTTAGCTTCTGCATGCTTTGGCCTAGTCGTGGCCCAAGTAAAAGCATGTCTCTTCCCACTTCCACAAAAATTGTACTGCCTGTCTTTAACCACATTTTAAAGGTATGTAATCTTGTTGTTTGCCGTGAGCCCATCCCTCTTTATTTTTTACCTTCCTGTGTTCAAGCCTTTGCACTCTATTTGAACACCTGAAGGAAGATACATTAGGTTGGACCAATTAAAAACAGAGGTAGAAAGATGATAAATCAGGGGAGAGGAAGAATGTTGTTTCTTCTTCCTGCTTGCCCTGTTCCCTGGTGTTCGAATGTTTTATTACCCTCTTAACTGCAGGTATAATGAGAGGGTAATTTCCACTCCTCTGCAAAGGCATGCAGGGTTCTTCTGTTTAGCCCTTGTGGGTATGAGAATAACACACAAAAGTGCCTGAGTCATTTCATCTACCTGCAGCAAAAAAATGCCCATTTTTGCAGCAGGGGCAGGGACTTAAAATTCAGCAGCCTATATCCTGTCCAGTACCCTGTGGTTGATCATGGCAGCACTCATTTCCCAGACACATTTTTAGTAAAAAATTTTCATGTTGTATGACTGTTGGTTGGACTGCTAGCTTACTGGGCATTCACTTGATCAGGAAGTTTGGTCTGTGCAGGTCAGTACACAACAAGTGCCTCGACCTGGGTTGAGCTTGCATGGAATGCTGCTACAGTCCCTTCCCGAGGCTTGGTCACCTCATAAACAACTGGATTTGCTTGTCACTGTGTGATTTTGACCAAGTGTTTCCTTTACTTTTGCCTATCCTGTACAGCACTGTACATGCTCATCCAGTTCCACTCTTGGTGCTCAAGTTGCTTGACTGCAGGAGGAGGTGTGCACGTTAGAGGGATGATGCTCAGCATTCCCAACTCTTGTTTCTGAGGCTTTTCTGAGGGAAGGTATAGAAATAACCTGACATTTTAACTGAGTTACTGGGATACATTTATTAATTATTCATGACTTTGTGTTGTTGAGAAAGTAAGGAAGCTGAAATTGCTGATCTTCTCCATGAAGGCTAATTTTAGTGTTGCTGGGTTTCTTCTTCCCTGTACTGTGTTTTCCTCCTATGGCTAATTAAGATCTAGCTGCCCTAGCTTGAGAACCATTTCTGTTCAATATATGCGAGTGCCATAGTTTCCAAACACTCTGTTAGTGTTTACGTTACAAATATTGTTATATTTATAAACTGGAAATTTCAGTGTCAGTTTTGTATTTCACATCCTGAGCTTTGGAACAGTAAGCTTTAATATGCATAGTAAAAAAGGAGGAAAATCCTATTATTTCATACAATAAATTTCTGTGCTATATATTGTACTTTAAGAGGAATTTGTTACAGCATCAGTCACCAGGTGGCACTGCTGCATACAGTCTTGATACAGGGTAATCCTTTGAGAGCGTGTCTGACAGCGGGATAAGGACTTCGGGTTTTCTCCTCTGTGTAGCTTACATCTGGAACTGTACGTGTTCACATCACCATAACTTTCATCCTACTTCTTGCATTGTAGG